AACAAAACAAAACCAACAAAAAAGAAAACCTTAATGAAACAGAGATAAGTAATTTATATAATAAAGAATTTAATGCTCATAAAAGTACTCACTGAACTTGGGAGGAGAATGGGTGAGCACAGTGAGAACTTCAGTAAAGAGATGGAAAATAAAAGAAAGTTCCAAACAGAGGTCACAGAGCTGAGGAATATAATAAATACGTTTAGTTTCTAAGCACACTTCCTCATGAGGTAAAACTTTTTCTTCTTTGAGGATTTATTGAGTTATTTCTGGACTACAATATTAGGAGAATATATTTGTTGATCACCTACTAACCATATTTCTAGAACTGTGGCAATATGATGGACACTGCCCTCAAGGGATTCACAGTCTAGTGGAGGAAGAAGACTTCTTGGAAAAGAGTTACCTGGATTAGCCTAATCTGACACTCTTTTTGCATGGTTAATATCTCAGAGAGCCACTGGTCTCTTCCATAAGTCTATGGAAGTAGCTTCTGTGTGCCTTATTTCTAAAGTGCTTTCTCAATCTTCAGAAAGAGTGTTCTAGAGAAAAGGCCTAAGTTGCCCAAATTCCATCTGTGAGGGATTTGGGAGTTCCTGACCATCAAGGTGGTCATAGGTGTTGGTGAAGGAACCTGCAGAAAGATCCAGAAGGGCATAAGTCCGTGATGCTTAGGAAGTACCAACAATCAAATGAAGTCAGGAGTTACAAACTAGGCAGAAACTGGAATGGAGTGGAAGCAGGCTTAGAGATACAGGCAAATTCTGCGGAAAACCTGCCTGTTGCATGCAGTGGCCCTTCACTGGCCTTTGGGCAGGTTTGTGACAGGATACAGGGTTGAGGCAGACACCAAATAATGAAAACATGGCTTATCTGTTAGGGTAGCTTTTAGTCACACATAGAAAATTAAACAGGTTTAAATAAATAGGGGTTCTATTTATCTACTCAAAGTCAGTATGTGACGTGCCAAATCCATCACCTTGATTTCCTCTCCCTTTCTGCCTTTTGCTGAACCATGAGGGGGGAGCACAATGTAATGGAAAGACAGGGGATCCAGTCCAAATGTCGGGTCTGTCAGTTAGCTCCCATCTTGTTTCCTGAAACTTGTCGAGGACTCCTGGTTGTGAGTAAAAGAAACTCAACTCAAACTAACTTATGTATTAAAAAGAGATTATATTGGATCACCTAACAGAAACATCCAGGGGCTAATGTGCTTCAAGCATATATAGACCCAGGTAATCAAGCATCATCAGACATCTCTGTCCTCCTTCTTCTGTAAGCTCTGCTCAGGATATTATAGCTTCATTCTCGTGTGGGCTCTCCCAACATTGTGGCCATAGATTGGTGGGTCCCCAGTGAAAGGTGAGTGCTGGAACAAAATGAAAGAAAAATTAATGTTGGGCAGGCAAAAACTACCATTATGATGGTAATAGTGCCTTCCTCACATTCCACTTGTGGTAAGGATTGAATGGGAGAATACACATAAAAAGAGCTATATGTAATTAGATGTTACCTCCCAAGATACTCAGACTTCCATCTTCTTTGATGGTATCCTTTTTTCCCATCCCCACATTTAGCCTACTTGGGTAATAATGTATTTTGAAGTTGTAAAAATTATTTGGTAACATTTAAAAACTAGTAACTTTCAAATAAAAACCAGATTTCTGACTGTTCTTGATAAGTAGTAAGATCTGGCAACAGTCAACTGTGCCAAGATGGGGTTCCTCCTCCCAAGGGGCAGGTACTGCCCAGTTTGCCCCCAGCCTCGCCCTCGGAGACATCTGGGATGCTTCTCCAGTCTTCACAGCCTCATGCCCTACCACTTTCCTCTGGGAACCTCCTGCCTTCTGCCTGGTACCCTCACCTCCGAGGCTTTGCCCAAAGGCCTTTCCTCCTCCTTCTTATCAATCTAAATCCCCTCCATCCTTCAAGGCTACTTAAAGCACCAGGACTCCCTGGAACCTCCTCTAAGCATCACAGCTCGCAGAGTTCTGTCTTCTAGGCAAGGATACCTTGTAGGTAAGGACAGCCAGTGACAACCAGGACTGCACCAGCTGTAAGTTCCCAAGTGGCTGTGAGTGCAGGAGGGAGCCACTGGCACTGTGAAACAAATGGGGATGTATAGAGAGATGGCAGAGGCAGGCGATGACACCATCCCTGACATGGAAGACAAACAGGAGCTGGACAAGCAAAAAAATTATTGAAAAATGTATTTCTTATCTACTTTGAAATAAGCCTCTATATTTATAATTCAAAATATAGGAACACACACAATGTGTTCCTTTACTGCAACCAGCCTTTAAAGAATTGTATTGATAGCAAGGCTTAGTTTTAGAAATAAAAATGTCAAGGTAGTTGGTGTTCAGGACTTACCCTGCAGCCTTAAAGGAGACTTGTGAGTAGGAATTGTGGTACAGCTGGGATAAGAAGGCTGAAAAGTGATTTTCCATGACTGAGGGATGAGGTGCTTCTACGTTTTGTTTTAATTCCCTCTTTCGGTAAAATAGCATTTGGAGATTGTATTCAGAGAGCTAATTATAGAACAATTTAATCTACAAAGTGGTCAAATGGGAGTAAGCAGTGTGTGAGTGATGTAAATAGTTTCCTATGATTCAGAAAGTACTAATAGCATGATTCCACTGTTTAAAAAATATCCAATGTAGCAATTTAGATAATAGTGAAGTGACTGGCCTCTCATTTTTAACTTCTGAGTTAAAAAAGAATAAAATATAGTATAATATGCTTTCAACTAAGTAAAATTGTTTCCATATATGTGGACAAGGATAGTAAGGTAAGTATTCAAAAATTAAAATAGCTTTTGTATTAAGGAGGGAGGAGGCTTATAGGTGATTTTAATACACATTTTAAAGGTATTTAATTTTGTCGCATTCTCTGTCAACTAAAAGAGGATATCCACCCACCTGGAAGAAAGGAATGTTGCCTTCTTAATCTCTGACTTAAGAAAACTGATAAGTCACTTTCCAGGCACCATAGAACCAGGAAGGGGAAGGGGATGCTTTACGTGAAAATTCACCTTTGTTGATCTCACTCCAGTTTTGCCTGGCATTGTTTGGTTCTTTAAAGGTGTCATACTGCCCCTGGTGTTCAATAAACTAAAATGTAAACTCTCAAACGGCTACTACATTTTCTTTCTATATTTTCTGAATAATTAAGACTATGAGCAAGCAAGAGAGAGAGAGAGAGAGAAAGAGAGAGGAACACCTCAGTATAAACGTGTGGGTATTCCATGCCTTGTTACTGTTTTATATTTTTTAAATAGCCTTTACAATGTCACTTTTTTTTAAGCCCTTGATGGGCAGGTTTACAGCCTTTAGGTGCCCTCCAGTGGCAGAACTTGTTAGCAGGACTCTGGAAGACCCTAAGCACTTCAGATGATGTAGAAATTATTAACAGTTTCCAAAAGTTTGCTACTCCCTAATAAAATGGGTCCCTGAAGAAGCAACAAGACTAACAAACTCTTACAGAACCTTCTTTGAGATTCCGTTTAAAATCTTTAAACCAAATAAAAGTAAATAAATAAGGATATATTTTGGAGCAAGCCTTGTATAATAAAACAGTGACCACATATAATCCAAAGCAGGGCCATATCCTGCCTTAATAGGGTCTGAAGTGTATATATAATTTGGAGCCCTCTTAAAAAAAACCCTAGAAGGTATCTACTTTTGCAATTTTATACAAACCATGAAGAGCCGCTCATAGGATCTTAGAAGAAACTCCTGGCCTGTAAGGGCCCCTGAAGCTTATGTTTCATAGCTTCAGGGGAAATTGGCCTCTTACCCAAAGGTATTGTTTAACTGCAGCTTTTGGACTTTACCTTGAGCATTATAATTCAGAGTCTTAATAAATTAGGGGACACGTATAAATTTAGTAACATGGTAGCATTTTTGTGGCCTTTCTATCCTCTGACTACTGAGAATTAATCGTCTTTGAACCATTCTAGCCAAGTGAAAATAAATTTGTTTATAGAGAAACAACTTTAATTGCCTTAATTGTGTGTGGGAAGAATTATAGAAGATCAGATACTTCCAGGACTCTAGAAGAGATAGTAATGGAATTAATGCAACTATTTAAAACTATTTTAAAAGGCTGATTCTTAAAAATTGGTCTTCATGTTTGGTTAATTTCCAGGTTCACTGATCACTGTGAAAAACTAGACGTTAATCTCAAAGATTAGAAACCAGTCCGGGTGGAAAAAAATTACTTAGCTTTCACAAAGAAGAGCTTTCTGTTATTCGAAACAGATGACTTTGTTTTGATACTAATCACAGGAAATAAAAAAGCTTCCTTGGGTAAAATTTCAAATACTCACCTAATCTAACGTGTTATTTTAGTTTTTTGAATAGTTCATATAACTTTCAGATATTCTGTCCTCTCTGTCCATTCCTTTATTTACTTATCATATATTACCCATTTCCTTCCACAGTATGTAAAAATTCATGACCACAGGGCTCTTGACTGTCTTGTCCCCAGAGCAGGGCCACTGCGTTTGGCCAAGTAGACTACACTATAGAGCATCATGGGATTTTCTTGGCCTTGAGGTCTGTGCATATGGCACCCTCTAGAGCTGCGTTGCAGTCACTGTCCAGCACCTAAGGCTGACCTTGGCTCAGAAGAGTCCCTCAACAAGGCTATATTAGTGCATGAATAAGTGATATGTCAACCTATTTATTATTTTCATTTGAAATATAGGATGAGAAATTGAAAGATTTTACCTCCCATAAATCAAAGTACATTTACATGTGCAAGCCAGTTTCATTTTGATGACTTTTTCTGACTAAGATGATTTGGCTTAGTCTGTGACTGTCAAATCAGTAAAATAGAGAACCGGTACAGGTCTTCTGATTTCCTGTGTCACATTCTATGTGCTACATTTTCCCTGTCTCCAAAGCCAATTTCTCCAGACTCCTTGTGCTTTTCTGAGTCTGTGGGCTGTGACCAGGTAGTGACAGTGCACGTGCTGTTTTGTTTTGTTTTTCCAGCATTCAGAGAGCCTGGCGTGAGTACCTGCAGAGGCAGGACCCCCTGGAGAAGAGGAGCCCATCCCCACCCTCTGTGTCCTCGGAGAAGCTGAGCAGCTCTGTCAGCATGAACACCTTCTCAGACAGCAGCACACCAGTGAGTGCCATGTTCCCTTTTTATGGCCTGATGGGCCAGTCATTTGATCACCAGGTCTTGGGTTCCAAGAAGGAAATGTTGAGATGTGAGCAGGTGGTTTGTTGTTAGGTGTATCTACATTGCTTACTTGCTATATTTGAACCCATGGTGAGTGTTTTGTCATCTGAGAATGAAGACATGATTCATAAGCATAAAGTGTACTTCATCAAGTCTGAGAGAATCGATTGTATTTGACCTCAACCTAAACTACTCATTTGTGTGTTTGCATTCCTCTATTACTAAGAATATCCTTTTCCTTTTATTTATAACAGTGTGTTCCCTTTAGTCTGTGCCTCTGATAGAGTTTTGTTGTGCTAATATGATAGAAGATTAGTTTGGTTATAGGATTATAAAGAGAACTTTTACAGGAAGACTTCAAAGGGGTCACAAACTCAGGAGTTGCAACTCAAATGCCTACAGGGGCCAGGTAAGAAACCGTTGTGGCTGATGTGGGCTAAGCTGTGACTGGCTACTGAAGAACACAGGCCTTACCTAAAGGGGTAGCCCCACTTGCATCCCAGATATGTTGCTATGCAGGGATGCTGGACAGACAGACACTGCCAAATGTTGTTTCTTCTCTTAAGGGGTGTCAGAAATTCAGATTTTTAAATGTTGGCAACTAGTAAGAAAATTTAAAATGCAACTAGACCATGCCTGCAGATCACAATTATCCCAGAGGCCACCTGTTTAAGAACCCTGGTACACAGTGAAGGAATGGGAACATCTGCTGAAAGTCTTTATTTAAAAAACAACAACAACAACAACAAAAACAAACATATACCAAATGTGGTAGGAAATAAGTGATCGGGTAACTGTAATACAGAGTGTTGTGAATATGGCCATTGTGATCATGTATGATAGTCACTGGAATACACAGAAAGAAGTTAGGAAGAGAAATGAAGTAACTATACAAGTGTTATTATTTTCAAAAAAACATGTTTCTTGACTCCTTTGTAATCATTTTTATTCAGTGGTTAAAGGGCTCCCCAGCAGCCAAAATAATGTATTCACATTGGGATCAAACAAAGGTTGCTTTGACATGTTTTCAGATAAAGAGCATTGCATGTTCTTTAATAAACAGTTTTATCTGTTATGGATTCTAAAGAGAGAGCAGTAACTTGAGAGCAAATAACAGTGGCAGAAGATCTATTTTTAGCGAACAGCAGAAATTGAATACTCAGTGAATCTGTGTGCCTTTTTAAAACAATTTTTTTGCGGGGGAAATGACTTGTCTGAACTGGCCTTATGATCACTAGAGGGTGCTGATGAGCCATATTGGAAAAGGTCTGTTGCTTAAGTGTGTATCTCATGATTTGCAAGTCAAAAATAATATGAAAATTAAGTGTTTAGGATGCCTTTGCCGTGAATGACAATAGAATTAATTTAATAGAAATTAAGTGACTGAATATTTTATTTGAATGATGGAAACTGAGTCTCAGAAATCATTCCGCCCATGAGTTAAAAGTTTGGATTTACTGTCTTTGTATTTTCTCATAGCCCCAATTCCTGACAGTATCAACCATTGCTGTGTCCAGTGACATATGATGGTTTTAGTGTTGCTTTAGGGTGGTTAACCTTTTGACTGTATTGAAATTCTGGAATAATCTATCTTTGTTTTATATTTACCTTGCCATACCACTTAGATTCTAGCACCTTAAGTATTTTTGTGCATAAATGCACGTTCTTCCCCCACGGATCATCATATAAATGTGATGTGCAATACCTTTTGCACAGTTTTGCTAACAGTTCTACTTTATTTAATTTAGCCTGGCCTCCAGGTCCCCTGATGTTTCTTAGTAGAACAGATCTCCTCTCTCAAATGTCCCCAGCAATTTGGTTTCCTATAAGGTGTCTCAGAATGAATTGGGAGTGGCATCCTGCTCCACCACTGTATCATCATGCCTTATCTCTGTGCTCATGGGACCAGGATAACTCTTTTCATTGTGTGGAAGTCTGGCTCATTCCTGATTGCCTATAAACAGTGAGAGTCAAAACATTTTCAAAAAACATTATTGGAATTAGCTTCAGAAAGCAAGCAGACCCTGCCCAGAAATCTAGTAGAGGTTATTAATTATAACAACAACTTTGGCATTGATGGTGGCAGTAACATGACACTAAATATGTAAAATAAAATATGAAAATATAAGTTGCTGGAACATCCCCAAGTCTCTAGTTTGTCAGGCGGGTAAAATATACAATTCATAATTTTTTAAAACTTTATGCTTTGTTGTTTGGAGCTGGTATATCTAGTTAAGGTTGTTCTATTTCCCATGATCATCACGTTGTTTGGGACCTCTTTCAGAAGATTCATTCTTACATCTTTTGGTGGTCACAGCCCCATGAAAGGAAAATGACTCTGCTCTACTTTGATCAGCCTACCAGACCCACTGGGTTCATACATATTCTCAGGGAGTTCCAAATAGGAAGACTTAGTGTTACTACTCTCTGACAAATAGACCTCAAGTTTATGGAGGGGATAAGGATGAGCCCTGGCCCACCTTGGCTAAGTCCCTGTGCTGAGCTCAGAATGATGCTCTTGCATGCTTTTGCTCTCTTTTGGCTAAGCATAATGGTTAATATAGTTCTGAGAATATTTGTGCTCTAAAATATATAAGAACAGTAATGTTTCAGTTTGAGATCTCATAATCATTATCTTAATAAGAGCTGAGTACTTGTTATGTGACAGGCATCTTGCTAATGGCTTTCCGTGGATTATTTCACTAAATCCTCTCACTGACCATATGTAAGAGGTATATTATTATCTCCATTTTACAGATGATGAAAATGAGACCTAAAGAGATAACTAACTTGCCTTGAGTTACTCATTGAGCTGGAGCCATCATGCTGCACTATTCTACTATATTATACCACTTGAAAATAAGCCTGCATTTAGACATAGTCAAGCAGAGGAAGAAATAATGCATGCATCAATGCATTTCTAAGACTATTTCACAATTTAGTAGGTATAAACAGTGAATGAAATAATTGAAAAAAGAATCCTCATTTGATTTTATAAATTGCCTCGTTCAATGCTCTTTGATTAAAACTTCAGACCTCAGCTGCTCAGTGCCAAATTAAAGAGCAACAGGAGGGAAGATATATATGAAATTATGTTAGCAATTTGCATATTAACTGTCCTTATACCACAATGTATCATGAGGTAACAGAAAAATTTATTTTAGAAATAGCAATTTTGAGTAGCAAGTTATTGTGACATGGAGCTTGTGGGTATCAAAGTGAGAAAAAAGAACTTTTTTGTCATAAAAATATTAGTTATTGCATGGAGGACAATAGTGGAAAATGATTTGTGTATTGTTTATTAATCAATTTCATATGACCAAGTACTTGTTCTTTTAGTTCCCAGCTCTGAAAAATCTGTAATTTGTCTAATAGAATATCACTATAAAATGGTACATTCCAAATGACTTGGTACCCTTTTCACAAATCATTAGCATACCCTTCAGATAAATTCAGAAAAATCTTTGGATTGTCTGGAGACTTTTTCAATCCCATTTGTCTCTAATTGGTTCTATCTTCCTGGCCATGCCTACTTATTCCCATGGGTTCCCATATTATTATGGTGTGGCCTGTAGGGGGCTCCGTGGCTCATGGAATGAAGCCCTGGTTTAGTAAAGAGGACATGATTTAACAGTAGCTCTGCCACAATTTTTGTGAGTCTAAGATGTACCACTTGAGAGACCATTCTTCATCTGCAAACTGGAAGTACCACGCACCTTAGAGATGGATTGATATTGCTGTGAAGATTAAATGGCACTACCTATGTAAAACGTAGCACAGAGTGTGGGACCCTGAAGGCTCTCAATAAATGTTAGTGGATTCTGTATCTGCTCTTGAAAATACTCCATGTGTTCAAAACACTCTGCAAAGCCTGTGAAGAGCAGAAGTGGAATTTTTAACTCTATTCCTATTGAGGGGCACACTGCCTGCTTCTGATTCATGAATCCATGAGAACCAAATTGTGTCTTAGAATATATATATCCAGAATATATATATGTATGTTCTGAGATTGGAGCTGTACATTACAAAGTAATACATCAAGTATTTGTTTTAGTGTTGCTTCTTTTAAAGACTAATTTTCAAGGTCCAAAGGTAAAAACAGGTGAAAGTATTTTTGCTTCTCAGTGACTAGGCCTCTTCTGAGAGACCACACCCATATACACAGTAAAAGCAATCTTAGGTCACTCTGCTCCCTTCAGATTTGGGAAAAAAAGAAATGGGGGGATCTGCAGCATGTTGGGGTGAACAGGGTTATGTGGCCTCACCTCTCAGGCAGGTCAATGCAAAAGCACCCTTCCAACAGTTGCACAACTCCAGCCACAAGGCCTTACTTCACAACTGGTCAGGAAGAATTTCAGTTCTGAGCAGGTTCAAAGATCAGTGGTCTGGGCCAGCTAAAGACCCCATTACTTCAGTTGCCCTGGAGAGAAGTCCATGGAGCTCTCATATGGTTGGGGCTGCTTGGGTTGCCCTAGCTTTTAGCAAGAGTTACTGGATAGTTAGCAACAGGCAGCCAGGTGACCCACCACACCTTCCTAATATGCTACCAAAAACTAGTACTGCTTCTGTCTGCCAAACACGACATGTACACCTACATTCAAACTACTTTCTTACCCTCAAGTTTTATTGCCCATTTTGAGATTTACAACTTCCAGGCTTTAAATACATCACGAAAAATCTTGGGACTAAAAGGATAAAGGCTTCTTACAAAGTCACACTTGTTTTGGAGGGGGTACTCAGACCCTCAAAGAAGATTTCCTGGGACTTTTCCCAGTGCAGTCTTAAAAGCTGTGAAATTTTAGAGAGTAAGCCTTGTGCTACTTAATAATTTAATAACCTAGATTTTCCAGGTCAGGGACAAGTTACAGTATTATGCCCAGCTGTTGTTATAAACTTAGGTCCCATGAATTTTAATGTTCAGTGCCCAAACTCTATCTTCCATCCTGCTTCTCAGACCCCCAAATAGCACAAATTGTCAGTCTATTCATCCCAAACTTTGGTTCAGAGACTGTAGTAATCACATGTAAAAAGAGAAGACTTCTTGGTATTTACATAAAAGTAGATGTAATTCTCTTTTCTTCAAACTAGAGTCTTAGAGAATAAATTTTTCCCCAAAGTTTTAGAAATTACATTATATAATATATAACCATATATGACAGTTTGAATTAATATATTCTTATATAAAATATTTGGTATCTTTCTGCCAAAACACTCCTTTTTATATCTTTGAATATTGGTTGATATTACAGATTCTTTTTCCAAATGGTCCTTTTAACTTAAGGATTTGAGGACATTTTTCTCAATAGGTTTAAAAATAAGTATGTTGTTTCAGTTTGGGGATTAAAATTTTTTTTTTGAGGACTGCTAATACTGATCATTTTCTGGGTTCAGAATGATATGCAAAATTTACAATTCATTGTTTGATAACAGACTCACTCAACCATACTAATATCAATCCTCTTTAGCAGTCTCAAAGTTATTGACCTTTAGGTATAGATGCAAAAACCTAGGCATTAAGCATCTCACTTTTGATAAACAGAGTTGAGAAGGAACTTGTTTGCCTTCTATTTTACCTCAAGTCCATTCTCAGCATTTGTCCTCATGTAGATGCTGTCCTTATTCTGCAGCTCTGGTGAGCCAGAGTGTCAAATCCCCTTGTTGAGACTCAAAGTGCATCCTCTGTTATAAAATCCAGTTTCAGAATTACAAATCAGTATTTCACTCATTGGGTGAGTATGAAAGATGCTTTAGGATCCAAGGAGAAGTTGGATGTGGTAGCCCTGGAGTAAGATCTACTGTTGTATTCCTTTTATTCTAGAACCTCATTGGCCTAAGGCTCTTTGGGACTTTCTTTCTTTTTGTAAATAAGACATCACTGGGGAGGGGGTAGTTATTCACATCCCTAGATTAGGTCTGCATCATCTGTTCACTCATTCAACACTACTGTGTGCTGGCCTTTGCCAAGCACTGGTGATATGATCACCCAAATACACTCAACCTCTGCCCTTGCAGAATTTACATAATTCCCCAGTCATGGTTGGCAATTCTTGTCCCAGATGCACTGGTAACTTATAGGAGATAATAACATTTTATTGATTAGTTGTATAGAAGGTTTTAGATATTATTTTTAATAAAAATCTGACTGCTGAAATATCTTCCAGAGCAGAATTTCCCATATTGTGGTACCTGGAATTTTAGTTTCATTGGATATTGATGGATGTTAATTGGGGAAGGGTGAAATAAGCCAAATTATTTATATCAGGACCTCTTAGAGCCTCCCTAACCTAATACACATTTTGAATTTGTGGGGGAGGGCAGTACTATTTTTCATGTTTTCCAAACTTCTTTGAACATAAATCCCAATAAGAGTCACATCTTATTGGACTATTAATCCATGGAACACTTCAGGAAATGCTGTTCTAGAATTAGTACTTATTGAAGAAAAATTCCAAGAGCTGGAATTTCTAAGTGGCTCAATAATAAAATTAATAGGAGTTGAACAATGCATTTTGAAAACTTCCAATGAAATTTTTACACTCCTTTTTATAGGCCTTTAATATAGAACTGTATTATGCAAATACAAATATTATTAAGTTACTTCACATGTAAAACCTGTTACAGTAGCTGGCTGGTAGAGTTTAAATAAAAAGGACAAGCCTAGTTAACAATGTAACAGTGTTGGAGATGTAGTTTTAGGAAGCCAATAAATAACTCCTTTTCCCCATCTTGATTTAGGAACTTATTTTGAAAGGCAAGAGATTTAGGAAGAGTGATATCAAAATCTCATCTTTATTTACTGTCAAAGCTGGATTTGAGGGTGTAACTCTGACTTGTGGCACCACTGAGCTTCCTACTACTGACCTTTGTAGGGAAACCTACCAATCCTGGGGAGCACTGAAAACTGCCAGCTTCACCCACAGAACTTGTGCAGGGAGATGGATCCCATAGAAAGATGCAGAGAGAATGATACTGGGCTGCCCAGTCCCTTTGCCGAATCCTCCAATCAGGGTTACTTATTCCACCTTCATGGAGAGGATTGAAGTGTGGGAGTATTTAGGAAAGTTCTTCCTCATGGAAGCCTGAGGACATGAGAAGAAGGGAGCCCTCAACATTGGATGCTTCATGTAGCAACAACTTGGCCTTTTATTTTTTTACATATTTTGATTTTTATAAGGTTGTATACATTGTCTATATTAATTATTGCAATGTTTTCCAAATAAGAATTACTTTGGGAATTTTAAAATATATATATAGATTTCAGGACCACAGCAGATCTATTGCATCAGAATATCTGAGAAGAGGCCTGAGATTCTGTATTTTTAAAAATTTTTTAAAATGTAATCCTCATCATTATAGTATAAAAAGCACTGTTATAGGAATTGCAAAAAAGTAATAAATTTTATTTAGTAAACTTACATGAACAGAGCACACAGGTGATCAATATTTCTTCCAATTTTTATTTCAGTGTTTTAGCATGGCATAGATACACCTTGAGGAGGTGCTGAAGCAAATTTTTCCTGATTTGATACCAAAACAATCACTATTGTTTTAATGGAATTTTCCCAGTGGCACTGGTTGTGTAGAAAATTCCATTTTCTCTTCTCCAGACTTAACGGTTCTTTCTCAAAAATGTAACAATATATACTATGCTCTTCCAGAAAGGTTTCTGTTGTTTGATCCAGTTTGTTTTTTATTAAAGGGGGATACATTCAATAAACTCTGATTAGTTTTAAATTATTCTTCACTTTGGTTGTGAAGATTATTTAGTTGGCATGAAAGGGGATTAGATTATTTAACTATTAGCTGACGGGAATGTCAACTCTGACTAAAA